AGCGTATCGAGGCTGGGGAAGATGCGCCAGATTCATCAATGGTGTCGAGCCAAGACGTCGATTCATTCACGTCCTTCTTCTGATCCCCGAAAGAGGACAGGTCAGACTGGCCAGCAGCATGAGTGATATCTACTCCTGAGGTTATTGTTTCCGAGGGGTCTGAAGCACCCATGTACTCAAACTTCGATATACGCCGGGATGATCCAGGATGATGGAAATTGACCGAATCAGACGATTGGGCTGTAGTCGGTGTACGATCACCTAGCGGTGACGGTAATAATGACTGGCGCGGTTGGTGATCCCAACTGGACGCTAGCCCTTCCACCAGATCAAACGGTTGGACCATAGAACTGCGCTGCAAAGAGACACGCTTCTCTCTGGCCATTACCTCGTTCTCATCAACGGTTGGATGAGTAAATTCACCATATGATTCTTGACTTAGCGGACGCTCAGGGAGGGCTTTGCTATCCAAATCTCGAAATGAAAAATCCATACGTTGTAGCTCAGTGACTCGTACCATATATGTATCACGCTAAAAGAAGAATTTCAGTTTTAGAAATGGAAAGAATTTGAGTTCAGTCAGGAGACTCACTATTTCTTGGAGTTTTTGCTTCTCGTCTTCTCCTCCGTCGCTCCGAAGCATTACCAAATGTAAGAGTTGACACGCATCATTGTAAGCCTCCATAGCCCCTTCGAAGTTCGCCGCATTATCGAGAAGAACTGCGGTATTCGCTTTCTGCAACGCTTTGGAAAGCATTGCTTTCTGTGACTGACCCCGCTTTCTTTTCTCCTGGCTCCTATCTCCCTCAGAGATCAACCGCGGTCCTTCCTCTGCTGGTGCGTCAGGCCCTGATTCACGTGGACTGTGTGCCTCTAGAACTGGGCGAGTAGGAACCACACTACTTTTGCCCCGGGCAGAATCAGGTCCTGAACCGTGTTCCTTGACCCAGGGGTCTTGGAAAAGGTTATGAGGTATTTCAGTGGCCCCAGAAAATATCCAATTAGTCTCTGGCACTGTCGCTCCTACAACGTCGACTGGGTGATTTGGTGCAGGATCGCCATAACTCGACGTGATCGACCTTTGAAAAGGGCGATGCGTGCGCAATCCATCATAGGCATCAAATGTCTCCGGCATGTGAAATCCGTCATGTATTTCAATGCCAGTTTCGGGAGCTATCTGACTTTGATTTTCCGAGCCATCATTATTGTCAAAATGTTCGTCATGGCCAGTGGTTGGGGAAGGTGATCTAGGCACTCTGGTAAAATCGAGTCGACGATTATTTTCCGGCGAATTTTGGCTAGATGTTGTAGACTGCGACCAGCGATTTAAATTGCCTAGTCCTTCACGGATGAGACCTTTATCCGTCTTGTCTAGCGACACAGCAGCTTGTGGCGAGGCAGAATTTGCCGGAGTTCCTGCACCGATTCTGGAAATGTAATCCGCGGTATCCGATTCCTTTAATCTAGACATAGCCTGTAATGCGATTGTGGGGATGGATGAACGTGGGCGTTGTCTATCAGGTCACTAGAACTCGACTTTCCTCAACTGTGTACGATTGCGTTCAGCATATGCCAGTATGTATTAGAACGTTGCTTGGATGAGATTCCAACGGGCGCAAGACGTTTTCCAGAAATATCCGGGAACGTTGGTTCACACAATCCCGATGTTGCGAACCGTGACCGCAGTTAGAGACTAGCAGTTTATAGAGTGGCAGAACCAGTCATGAAGCTTCCCGGCTTCGGCTTTCAGATAGGTAGTATAGCACCGCCGAAAATGGCTTGGCCAACGAGGAAGATCCTTTTTACCGGAAGCTGATGTGTCCACAGTATTTCTGCAGCCTGAGATAGTCCACACAAGATTTTTGTCAGCTCGATTGCTGTCTTGCGCCCATACCAGAGAACTCACTCCGGTTGCATAGTGTGTGTGTGTGCGTGCGTGCGTGTGTTGTGACAATACAATTGGCGGGTTTGGCGTTATAGAATGCGCATTCTCCCCTTAATCATGACAAGTTTGTCCCAGACCTGGCGCACAACAAGTAGTGGTATGCACGAGATGGTAATAGACAAAGTTGGTCGACAAACCAGGGTACTGGCTCTCTCTTGGTTGATATGTGCTGGTAGGATACTCGATAAACCCGACGGTAGGGATTGAACTTGGATCCGGAACTCTAGTTCACACAGGCCTTCCAGCATACTAGAAGGGTAATTAGCTGTTAGTAGGAAATAGCTAATGGTGCAAGTCATAGTTGTAATGGTTTGAGATAGACTTTCGCTCTTCTGAAACTGATACTCAGAGGTAACTAATTGACTGTGTCAGGACATACCAAAGCACTCTTTCTGATAAGCAATCAAGTCATAAGGAGGATAAGACAGGTCAAACCGGACTATACGTCTAGGCTGACAAGGAAAACCAGTAATTTCAAGTTGATAGCCAGGGCTTGTGCGGGTGGGTATCTTAATAATATCAGGTCAAGAAAATGTTCAAGCCGCACGTATTATACTGTAGCGTTATACGGGAGGAAAGGGTGGAAAAGGGGGAGGGGAAGGGGCTATTGTGTTTTCCATTTTCTGGTCTGATATGACGGAAGTCCCTCACTAGCCATGGATCTGCTTTGCTTGCTAACCACCTAACTTTCCACGGGACAACAACCATAGTTGCCCCATAGTGCGGAGTACAGAGTTTGTAACATTGTAAGGGGCATAACGCATTACAATCAAGTACTTGTAGGGTATTCGCATGGCCATAAATAAAACCCAGCACAAAAAGGCTAAATAAGTAACTTAATGCATATGATTCTACACCGATTCAGTGAAAATTCCTTAAAATAGGGTGAGCCACAGTTACTCGTAAGGGGTTTCGGAGTGTGCAATGTCTCAATAGGTGTCACACTGTACATAGTCAAAAATACATACTAGATGCTGAATTGTGACTATCTACCCCGAAAGACTGTGCATTCAAATGCGGGTCTCTAGGACGCCAAATATAGCGTGTATCTTGTGGTACTAGGAATTTAGTTGATGAACAAAGTATGGCTAACCCGTGTACTCAATTATTTCATAGTATTGAACCCATAGATTAACTGGTATATATATCTGGGGTTACAAGATTGTATGTAAATGTAATCTGTAATCGCTTGGGTTGAATCTCCACAGCATGACGATATAGTCAATAGCCAGTCTTTTCATAGTAATACTATATAAACCTAACTAGTTTGTTTTCGGATCGCAAATTAGACATCATACTTCTAGTAGTTCAACACCCTGGCTAGTCTTACATGTATCTCATGGATAGTACCCTCTCATACAAGAAGTCTCTCTTCCGGCCCCCACCTCTCTCGAATTTCTGAGATATCTCGACATTTTCACTATCTAGGCACAGGCACCATTATTAGGTGACTGCCAAAGCACTCTCTAGTGCCCCAAAGGCTTTGTGTTGCTATATAAGCAACTCCAAAGAACAAGATTGGGTGAACCAGAGCTAGATGCTTCACCATGCCAGACACGCATTAAACAGTTTAAATATACGCATTCTATGGTACTGTAGCCAGTGTTCTTCTAGTTATGATACAATAAAGAGACGCATAGGTAACAAGTGCCTTTTATTTTATTGTATTTTATCTTATTATATTTTATTGTAAATTGTTCATTTATTTCCAAAATACTCGGTTGAATGCACTTATCTGCTCAAGGCTCCGATCGGTAAGTAGGTCTACTGGAGTTGTAAGAAGTGTAAGAGTGACCGAGATCTAGCGATAAGGTGATAAGGGGAATTCTGATAGGACATCTAGTAATAACTCAACTGGGACTCAAAGGGACTAGCTGGATATAGTGTTCATGAAAGCTAGAGTGCATTCAGGATGCGATTTCAAAACTTTGTATACGTACTCGTGGTTTGGAGGAAGGATCCATGGCATATTCGACGCCTTGCATACCTACTGATAACGACTCCAACAGGTTCACTCATCATTCCCGTTAGAATTCAGCGTCAGTGAAGCCCAGGGGTAGATAAGCAACGATGGCTTTGTTGATAGAACCATCCCCTCAGCCTCATGACGATTCTAGCCCCTTTGGTGGGTATGCCTACTCATCGCTATCGTCCTCACTCGTCGCTTCGATATTCCGGCGCGTATCCTTGTCATCCGAATAATCACCAGAGTCATCACCGACCTCTTTGTTCTCACTGGTCAATCTACTATCGCTATCATACTGTGGTCGGGGGATTGATTCGCCTTTATTCTGAAGAGTGGTTTCAATATGAGGTAATAATCTCACAAGAGAGGAAAACTGATCAATTGGTAAAGAGATTCCCTGCGCAAACGATGAGTTTCGTGACGAGGCCTTTTAGAACGTAGAAGACAAACCTTCTTCCCGGGGAGCTCGTGGCCATCCTTCTCGTAGTATTCCCTTATACTGACCAGGGTCTTTCCACGGAAAGATGAGATGGTCAGACGGCGTGCTTTGGATAATTCCCAGTAAAGGTCTCCATTCGAGTCAAGCTTTCCCTGGCCAGCGAGTAGATCGGTATGGTTAGGGTCTGGGTTTCCCTTCGAGACATTGCCCCTCGTCCTTTTTAATGAGCGATGACCGTCGATAGAATCACTCTCAGCGTCTGGTTCGCGCTTTCTGGCTCTGAAAGACATAACTATGTCTGCCACCAAAGAAAGGGGCGAACGTAACTTTACCACTGATTGTGTTTAGATGATATGATGTGTCAATAATATCTCTCTTGGAAGCTCAAAGTGGACAAGCTCTCCATTAACTATATGTAAGGGGAAACGGACCGTCAATGTGGTACTTATATCACGTGATCCCAATCAAATAGTGAACATTCAATTACAGTCATCATACAATGAATGAAGTTTATCTCACCGAAACAATATGTGATGTTCAATCAACTAGAGATGCGAAAAGGAACTAATTTCTGTATTATACATGCGACGGGATTCTTGTGATCGCTAATGATCGCTAATACTCAGCGAGTCGGGGTTCGGATGTTAATATTAGAGGATAGCAGTCTTGAGAGCCTGCAAGAAAAGAGAATATACAAACCCCCTAGCGAGATTTTGAACCTGCAGACAATCGAAGATTCTCCCCAAAACTTCCTTACTGGCATTTGCTCCCATAACGCTCGTAAGAGCCTGGGGTAGGCCTCGCTGAATGAAGACTTTGCGAGCCGTCTCCCTCAGCCGTTCTTTCTCAGCATCAGTGGATGGCGGCGGCCAGTTTTCTAACTCGCTTTCCGTTGGCAGAGCATTTTCACGTAACTTGTTGAGATATAGCCCAATTGCTTCATCTGACGTATGCGAATCAATCATCGATACCTGGAGCAGCTCACGGATCGTCTCCAAATGAGGATTTCCGGGGCGTAATATGTACGATTTTGCCGCATTAAGTAGAGTCCTGCGTATGTTCCATGCCGAAGACAAGGTGTATAATTCATTGATTATCGCGAATATGAGCTCCACTGCTATGCGCGTCTCTTCATGTGTGATAGGATTGCCTCGACTTCTGTGGTCACTTAATCCAGCGTCTGGTGCTTGCCCTTCGCTGTTGGCGTGAGGATTATCTTGCGTACCGCCAGGAGACCGGGGTAGGTCAGCCGAAGTATTGCGCCCGGTTGAAGGAGACAGTTGTGTAGAAGCCACAGTGCTTCCTACATCCGTCGTCTGAGCTGAGCTGTCGGGAAATCCTGCATAATCCGTAGCCATTTCGAATTTATTTGAAAAAGCCTCTTCAGGAGGGGGAGCTGGCCTCCCAAATGTCTTGTCTGTGTGAGATCCGTCCGGTGGGGAAGCCGAGCCAATCCTCGTAGAATTCCGAAAACTCCCCTGTGACCCCTGATCGATTGACCCGTTATGGTTGAGAGGATCTAGTGGCCTGGCTTTATCGCCTACCACTGAATCAGGCGATTGCTTTTTACTGTTGCCTCCACCAAACACCCCTGTCATGCCATCCAACATGGCTTTACCACTTCCCGAGACGCCCCTGGGTGCATTGGATAATACGCCCAACACTCCCTTTCCTACATTCTCGAGTGCAGTTTGGCTTGGAAAGGGGAACCCTGTCCTGCCGTAAGGATTACTGAAGTCCGATCCAAGATGTTCATCCTTGCCAAGAAATCGTTTCATCTTTTCACTCTCTGCCAGAGATTCGTGGTTAAGAGCATCTTGAAGATAACATTCCAAGTTCTTGGCCAATTCCAATGTTGTCTGGCCTTTCCACGAGGGCACAACTGGGTGATCGTCGGCGAACTTCCGTAGTTTGTGCAGTCTCGAGATAGCCTCCAAAGTTTGGTGAAGCGATTCGAAATCGGTATATTTTCGGAAAACCATCCATCCAGTAGACCGTGTCGATACAGGTTCAACTTGCAGTAAATAGTCCGACGTTGGCTTTGAGCGGAGTGGGCCTTTCGATGTGGCCTTTGAAGCTTCGGTTTCTACCGTTATGGATGCACGATGAAGGATGGCTGGTTCCGGTAGCGAAGTCGGTGCCGCTGGACTCTTGAACTGCATGAGTGAAGGAGACGAGCTATTATTTTCTTCCAGTTTGGAATCGATATTATTTTCGTGATGCTTTGCTTGATCACAACCTAAGACTTTGCGTTGCAAAGCTCCGTCTCCGATCTCGCCTGCAGGCAAGTCTTCTCGATGATCAATCCTGTCATCCGATGCCACCTCCTGCACACCGTCTCCCAGTGCTCTCTCTGGGCTTTGCTTCTGCTGATCATGCGCCGTGATCATGTCACTGAGTCGCTTCGCCTCTATTTTGGCTTCCACTGTTGCCCTATCAACATTTGCCGTTTCATGTTGTATTATATCCCCAGTGATATCGGAGTCTGGGCTCGTGCTGCTCGTTGTCTCGGATGGAAGTTCATTTACGCTGTTGAGTACTCTAGTTGCTGTCACAACTTGTTCCTGGGCCCCTTCCACACCGGCGTCTATTGCAGTCATTATTTCTGACTTGCCTTCACTAAAAAGATATATAATCCAGCCATTGATGATTTCTGGCCTCGAAAGACTCGAAACGGTTGACTCAAATAGAACGCTCACGAACATTTCGCGCATGAAATTTCTGAGCAGCAGACATCCATAAACATTTGGGTCTAGAAATCTGGCCAAAATATCGTCCGCTATAATGTCGAGCTTCTTCTTCTGTTGGTCGTTGGCTAAGATATTCGCCAGGCCACTTTCAGGGGATGTCTCTATGTAGCGCAAGACCACCTCTTCCGGCGGTTTAGTGGAGCCAACGGACTCAAATGCTGCAGATAGCTCATTCAAAAACACAATGATCAGTGAGGATGAGTTAGTAAGGAGTTCCAGAAAGGTGTCAGCAGAGCGTTTACGAGAGAGGTGCAATGACAAGGACGAGATAAACTCGGCCAACAACTTCCTGCATGCCAGATGAAATGTTGTCTCGGGCGGTAATATTGGACTAGACCAGGAGCTTTTCGAGGTCTGGTAAGCTCACGAAGTAGCATTATAGGCGAGAGCTTACATCACATAGTCCTTCATAACTGCATCGGTGATTGATCTCAGGGCATCCGCTGTCTTGGGGCCAAGAGCAGAATGATCAAGATCAGCAGCGGAAGAGTCCCCGAAGAGGAATACTTGCCCAGTGTCATCTTGTCCAGCATCGGCAGCCAAGGCCGTACTTTTCGGCCAATCGAGTAGTCTTCTGGCTATGTCCAGGGCGAGCTCCTTTCTCCTTCGCTGTCGGGGATTGGCTAATGGATGGATAGGGTCTTCATCAACTGCCTCCCATTGTGCGTGCAAGATGATACCACTAGCAATTCCGATCAAGAGCAAACCTAGTCTTCCAAAGAGTACGAGCGTCGCGCCTACCAAGCATGCGAAGACACCCAGAAGAGTCTCACTATTGGCCGTTGAGAGAAATTGAAGTGTCGATTCAATGACTCCTTTTGATCGCACGGGGTTTAAACTCTCCGTCGCAGCCTGCTCGTTGTAGCTCGTCGGCAAACCAATGTTAGAAGTCTCAGCTAATTCGGGTTTCTTGGGCTGTGACTGTTCCGCCCAGTTGGAAGTCTCATCCATGGCGATTGGCTCTGTTAGATGATCGCATTGACCGTAACGCAGGTTTGCAGATTTATTGAGGAGAAGGAAAACCAAGATCTCGCGAATGATCAAGGCTGCGCGTCGTCAGGAAGCTCGGTTGTCCTTTAACATCTGGTTATCTGATCGGCATGTCCGCTTTGGTTACCTAATACAACCGGCTGGGAATCCGAGCTTATATAGCCATAGAGTGCTAGTTACTACATACTTAGCACTTTTACCTACCAAACAGTAAAAAAACCACAAGTAATGTATATTCAGGACGTGCAAATCAGTTCAAATCTATTTGTACTAGTAACATTGAATGGGATAATCATATTTTCCAAATAGGTTTGTAATGGTCGACAAAGTCCGCCATATTTAGTAGCTAAAATAGGTAATGCGACCTGCACATATCGGTCTAACATAGGAGCAGGATTAGTGGTACCAGTACTCCGTACGATGGAAACAGTACGCGAAGTCCTGGACCCGTACTTGATAAGAACTTGCCCTCGGAAACTTAACCAGCCGAAGTCAACACTACGTATGGGATACTAGGATGTGGTGAGGCTTGAGTGTTTGCTCATTGTTGGAGACGGCGTTAAGATACATTTTGCGCACGGAAACCAAAACACAACATCTGGAGAGACGATACTCTGGTGGTGCCGTACTCCTGTCAATCATTGGGGCCCAGAATCAAAAGAAGTTCAGGGCTTGGGATAAGTGATAAGCCTACTTAAATCATGCGTAGCAGCACCAAATCCTGTCCCGGTAACAAAACTGAAGGAGACTCTATTTGTAATTGAACCGCGAAATTTATATTCATTTAGATAGTGCTGTGTACCCATCCAAAATTACCTTGCATTACCAGTAAAAGGCAAGGTATCTAAAGCAAATAAGGATGGATATTGCTATGCGCAATCCGAGTGAATCCAGCATTCAAAGTATATGCGTTTCATGCCAGATGCAAAGAAGACTGCGGTTTATATGGAAGTATGCAGAAACCACCGTGTTTTTCTCCCTGCTAGTCCGATAACAACTCATTCACAAGCCTGTCAGAAACCGTCATTGTGTCTTGATATATTTGGTATGAGATCCTTGTGCAACAACGGTACTCCCATTAGAGTCAGTCTGCTTCGAGATTGTCACAGTTGTAAAAGCAAGGTTTCGCCCGACTTTGTCGGCGCGACCTTCAATTACTAGCCAGTCTCCAGTTTTCGCTGTTGAGAGATAGTTGACATGAATATTCGTGCTGACACCTGTTGAATCGAGACCGGCCGATGCAATCGCTAAGCCACCCGCCCAGTCAGTGACACAGGCTGAAAATACGCCATGTAAGGTACCCTTTGAATTCAAATGTTGAGGACCGACTTGCAGTCTCGCATTGAAAACACCTTTCCCAGCATCATAGATGTCAATGTCCTGAAGTAGAAAAGCATAAATTGGGCTGTTAGTGCGGATACGCTCCCACACTTTCTGGACTTGTTGTAGTTCAGCACTCATGTTGGAAGAGGCTGTCGCGTTTTGAAGTAAATCCAAGAATGTGCAGTCAAGAAAGTTTCCGAAAGACGAAAAATTTTGCTTCTTTGCAAGGGCGGCATGCTAGCTTGATATAGCTGTTGACTAACTAGACACTAGTAACATTGAGTACGTAATAACACAGTCCCAAGCTAACTACGAATCAAAAGTGATGAGAAGCATATTGTATTTTTAATACGGTACAGACGTGCTGCGACCACCGGTAAATGATGATTTATATCCCGGCAACTATCAGCGTCCTAGCCTCAGGTGTTAGACTAACTCTGTAGTTGATGTGAAGCTTCAATTTATCAGATAAGAAACGAGGCAACATTCTGCATATTCTCAACCCAAAGAGTTCTTTCCATCTATCTGCAGCGATGTTATATCAAGAGACATATCATGTTACTCCTGTAATTTATTGCAAGTAACATATCAATTGTATCCGTTTCTGAGTTAAATTACTGACTCATATATTATGTAATAGGAAACTAGAACATCCCTGGATACTTCGCTTGTGGCATACAAACTTAGCTGTAGTTCCTGAACTGTCTCTGACTTCCTTACATCCTGCCCATTCTTGCTTCACTCGCATCCACACCACCATTGTTGATTTGCCTACCCAGTTCAGCATACAACCACACAACCTCACTGGCTGACACACAATGTCTCGACCTGGTACTACACTCTATGTCACCGGCTTCGGGCACGGGACCCGAGCTCGCGACCTTGCCTACGAATTCGAACGGTACGTGCCGCTCATCGATTGCTACGCGCTACCATGACTATACGACCCGTGTCCATTCTCGCAATTCACCTCGGCTGAGTCCCGCAAACCGACGTCGGTGCCGCTCTCTATATCATACTATGATAGAGATTTGCTTGTTTATCCGATTTCCTTGGAGAGGGGACTCCTTGAAGGGGGACCCTCCGAAAGAGTTTTCCTCTCACAGTTGCCTTGCACCATATATTTAACGACTGATATGTATGTGGAAAGCCTTCTAACATTGACTTAGATATGGACGTCTTGTCCGCTGTGACATCCCAGCGCCGCGTACCCCTTCCAGCAGACTGTATGTTTAATCGAGGCTTCGAACCCTGAATGATACTTGCTCACGACACAAGGTTTGCCTTTGTGGAGTACGAGAGCCGCCGCGACGCAGATGATGCATACCATGAAATGCATAATAAGCGGATTGGCCGTGATGATCTGTTGAAAATTGAGGTGAGTAGAAGACTATGGAATCCATAACTTGGCTGACATGGTTAAAGTGGGCGCGTACTCCTCCATCTGCTTCTTGGCGTTTTGACTCTGGCCGGGACCGGCGACGTGACCGTACTCCGCCACGACGTGGCCGCTCTCCTTCTCCTAGACGTGGTCGTGGCGACTATTCTCCCCGAAGGGACGACAGGTACGAACGGGATTATGACCGACATGACCGCGACTATGACCGCCGCGATCGCGACTATGATCGCCGTGACCGGGATTATGATCGCCGCGACCGGGACCGTGAACGTTCCCGTGACCGCTCTCGAAGCCCTGATGAGAGGGACCGCGATATCAAGGATGAAAGGGAGCGCCGTGATGATGATCGTGAACGACGCGAGGACGAGCGGGAGAATATCCCCAATGGTGAAGACAGGAAAGGTATGCTCATGATGCATGCACCAACTTCTAGTCGTGGCTGATCATTTGCCGCAGTCCCCTTAGAACCCTTGACCTCCGCTCATGATGAGCTTGATACAGCCGAGTAGGTTAGTTTGGCTTCATGAACTATCAGATCTCGTACCATACACCTGGCCAAAGACCTCAATCTGTGCTGGATTGTTTTCAAGGCCCGAGGGGTATAACGTGAAGCTTAAGATGTCATCAGTGCACGTTGGCCATCGACCTGGATGTTTAGTTCGCTCTATCGCTGTTCAAAACTGGCGCTATTTTTCTGACCCCTCCCCCAAGCTGCCGTTCCCCTCTTCCACCCCCCATGCTCGTGCGCTCTTCTCTTCATTACATTGCTCTCTTGTCTTGCTTTCCATATTTTTCCTTGCATTAATTCTTCCTATGTGCTTTCCTTTGCCATTTAATCCTTCTAAATTGCAGTGTTCATTAGCAGAGAGAGAACGCGAAGGGGCCAACTCCTGGAAGTGCTGGCGCAAAGATACGAGGCATTGGGGCTTTGGTACTATTGCTTAACATTGGTATTTATCATGGTCAGCAGCTCGAATCATGACCGAACGAACGTCGAGCGGGCCTTTTTCTTGTTTATCGTATCGCCAGACTGTCTCGTCCTTTCGTCACGATCAACAGCGATCCGTTATCCGTCTTGAGCTCGCATTCTAATATAGTCGATGATCATTGACCTTTACCGTCTCGGAAGACCGGTCGACTTCGTGCATATCCTGCAACACCGCTTCGAAAACGATTTGTAACTCTGTAGTCTGTAGAATTGGTCGTCATGTTAGGTTGTGGGGAGAGTACAAGGTAAGAGAAATCCGGAAGACATGAATGAAGCATTTACCTACCGTATCACGAGTTTGGACTGAAGGCTACACTCTAGTCTATGTTTTCCTTGCACTTGGTGAAATGACTAGGACGACCTTGCAGTTGTGGGGTCAGAATTATCGGCTATCAAGGCAATAGGAAGTATGGCATGTGGGAATGCCCACATGTGTACACAATTTTGTCTTACATACAGTCATTCCAAGACGAAAGCTGGTGGGGATTGAAGCATCTTGTTATTGTCTGCATCATGACTAGTACGTACATATACTTTGAAGACGGTAGGAATTCACAAAGGAAAAGATAGGAAAAATCGCGGTGCACCGCTGGTGTACATCTTTACCGAGCCTTCACTGCATCTTTTCGTACGTGGCCATCAGAGAGCCTAGTCATATGGTGTTAGTAGGATAGATGCTGCTCACCACAGGCCAAAGCTTTTGAAACTTACCGATAAAAGTAGTCACCAGGCGAGAGCGCACTTGGCAGATATCTTCAGGTACCAACCAGATTGTGGCACCTAGCTTTCGCGCTATGCTGATGCTCAGCTTAGCGTTTGCGTATGCCTCCTCGTCGTTCCGACCAGGTGTTACGAGATCGTAGTCGACATAGCTACTCTTCATGCCATTGAGCACGTCAAGGAGGAAAAGGCCTGAAGCGATCGACTGGTCCTTAAAGTTGCGTATCGACGAGGATCTGCCACCGCGGTGCGACATTTCGTTTGCCCATTTGATCATCTCCGAATCTGTTATCTCGCGCTTGCCCATACGTTTGGCTAGGCCCGAGAGTGTATTTGTGATATCCCGGCGCATTAGTTGCCATACCAAACCAAGCGTGAGAGTTCGCTGACCATCAGTAATATCCGCTCCTTGTACACCTACCAACGAAAATCCCACGTGTTTCCCAAGCTCAGTGGCGTAGTTAGTATTCTCAACTGCCTTGAAACGCATCATTTCTCCCCCGGAAGCCGGAGGTTTATTGACGTGTCTCCAGTTGACACTGCCAGGCATCACTTTGTCGTATGCTTGCAGCAATACAGTTCCATCCCTAAGATCATCAAATAGAGAATTGACAGCGGGCTGTACGTCGAGAGAGTTGAGCCACAGGGTGAAAACTCTGGCTTCCCGCTCACCCTCAGCATCAAAATCTTCAACTTCAAGCTTCTCTTCTTCGGTGATTGGGTCGAGGCCTGGAACAGTGTTGAACAAGTTCGCCACAAACGCAAGGTTCAGCTTAGGGTTCCCTGCGACGAGCGAGGAGGGTGTCAGGAACTTCCGACAGCCCAGTTTGTCCGCATTAGTCAAGACTTGTTCTGCCCTCTGAACAACATCCTGGGTCTGAAGAGGACTCCGCGAGCAGGTCTCTGGGGCCAATTGGTTCAGAAGCACGGTGTAATTTTCACCATCCTTAACATCAGATGAAAAATTCGTCACCCTATAACAGAGTTAGTTGGCTGCATCTCTATGATTGTAGGTTTGGTCGTAGTTTCACAGCTGGAAACCTCGTGCCGGGAGAGTGCAAGGTACCTTCTGTTCCACTTAGCGTTCTTCAGATGATAATTGAACCAACGTAGAAGAATCTGCTCCGGTGGAAGGCGTAGGAACTGCTCCAAAGTTTCATCTTCCTCCAGGAGCCTGTACAGTTCAGGGTGCAGTTTGATATCAATCTTGCCCAAAAGACCCCGGCGGATAATCTGCCAGATCAATCCCAGAATAAGGTGCTCACGCACTTCTATGATGTCGCCGCTTCCTATGTTCACAACAGAACAGCCAATACCCTTGGCTGAATTGATCACGATGTTGTTGTTTTCCGTCATATGGAATGCATTCAGTTCTTTAATCTTCTTCCCGGCTTTGTTCAAAACGCGCTCATCAATAGTGTCCGGGACACTATCATTGATCAACTTCGCCAACACCAAGCCGTCCTTACATTTATCGAACATTTCGAACGTGTCGGTGGGAAAGGGTAGGGAGTGGCCAATGTCTGGATCACCAGCAAGAACAGCATTTATGTGCCTAGTGAATTCTGTTCTCTCATCCTCGTTAATCGTATGTGTCACATTCGCCGAGGAACCTTGGACATGGATCCTGCCTCCTATACTGCCTTTGGAGACATGTCGAGACGGGCCGGCTCCATTACCCGGAAGGACTGGTGCAGGAGCCGAAGCCGCCTGATTCTGCGTCGAAGCAAAGCGGAGTTTAGAAATAAGCTGTTGAGGTTTGTCTTAGCGACCACAGTACAAAGGGACGACCAAAAAGAGCACAGCGATAGTGGCATACTGACGTCCACATAATCTTCGAGCTCGACTCGGCGAGAGCTGTCGAGTTCAACTTCTTTCAAGGCCTGACGCACAACATCATAGGGCTTTCGTTCTGATTGTTGGGTGGCTTTAATAACGGTTGCCTCGTCTAAGGAGCCTTTATCATCAACATCCAGCTTTCGAAAAGCATCCTGGAGAGAGAAAATATCCGACTGCTCGAACTGCGGGTATTTTCTGCGCTGCAGAGTCAGTCGG